TTTGTGCCATCCCATCAACACAAGAATACAAGAGAAAGCATATGAAGAGGAAGATCCATAAAACCCACAATCAGGAATTAAGATGGAGATTTGAAGCAACCAAATTGAAGATTTACAGATCCAGATTCAAGATTCATTATTCAAGTCAGAAATCAATTGATTAAAGTATGTTCCACGTTTATTTAGTTTTTTGATGATTTGACATGAAGATCTTGACGAGTTCATAAAGTTTAAGTCTTAATAAAGTTCTAACACAAACTGGCCCTTTCTATTTTTTTCTTTTGGCATTATTAGATGCGAATTTGACCATAAACAACAAATTTGGTACACGATATCACATCTTTATTTTTCCATATTGTGAAGCCCTTACAATTTTCTTTTGAACTTTGATATCATAAAGACAATCTTATCTAGCAGCTTATTTGCATCTTCCTCTCCAGTTGATAATGGAGAAGTCCATTCTTGAAATTGGTGGAGGCTGCCTGTGAAGTCTGTAAACAGTCCATCGACCCCAATCTTATTTATCCAGTAATCGAATTCCTTGTATGGATCTTGACTGAAGTTGAAGTGTAAGAACTCGTTCTCGTTGCGGAAAGTGTATGGATGCACCTGGATCAAAAGAAAAAGCACACGACTCAATATTTTTGCCAATTCATCAAGGTCAAAATGAACAAATTGATAGGAAATTAGGTGAAGTATCGCAGCTCCAACACATTTCATAGGATCCCAACTTATTATCCACTTATAATCCACACACACTCTGTAGGATCCACATCTTATAAGCACTTAAAGCACTACCAAACAAGTACTAAGTGAAGAACCAGCTCCAAGCATAGTTCGTTAGTAAATTGAAATTGTCCGTCCCTGAGAAGGAGCTTAATTTTAAAAACTTTAATATGAAAGAACGAGAAAACTTATGCATGTTTGTTAAGTTAGATGTGACAATCTTGGATGATAATAAAAAGGAAAACAAAGTTAATATGCATTGTTCATTTCATTACTTTGTACCAATCATGCCCCTAATGTAATGTCCTAATGATAGTGGTCTTTTCTATTTCACATCCCTTGCCATCGCAATTGAGGATCATAGCATGTAGTATAAATATGCCTCTCCATCTTGCGACCATGGTTCACACTAAAGAGAATACTACAAAAATATCTTGAATGGTGCAAATGATGTTAATACAGCAGCAAATGCAGACCAAAAGACAAGCATTTCTATGCGTGCAATGCAGCGTCCAAATAATTTCAAAATTTGGCACGTACAATAATTATAGGCCTGACCACAATCAGCTATAAATTAACTTCGGGGAAAAAAAAAAAAAAAGGTACCTGAAGATTACGGGCATGTGCTCTGGAAACAAGATCAGTAGGTTTTTGCAGATAATTGTGTGATGCAGTAACCAAAGTATCCTTCCACGGTCCAATCCCCACGATATATTCTTCGATAAAATCAAGATATTTGTCTGAAGTGATCTCCCAATACGACTGAGACACAAGTAGTCATTGTTTTCTTAGTATCAGAATAACAAATGAAATAAATCATACAAGTCACACAAAAACACTCCAGTACAATGTTAAGAAATTTGACATGGTAACTCAAGTCAAATTACAATTTTACAGTATTTTACATCTCCGAAAAACCAACAGGACAATAAGAGAGGATGTTCAGCCCAGCATTTGAAGAGTAGACATACCAAAACCCATGTTTGAAAGTCTTGTCAAAATTTAAGGTCATATTTGTCCAAACGTGACCATTTATAACGACTTTAACTAGAAAATAAAATATGGGGTTGTAATGGACTAAACGAATAATCTATAATATCGAGAGCAATTAATAGTACAAAGCAGAAAAATGGAAGTAAGAAAAACACACGATTCAAGGTGGTTCACTCTCAATGTGAGAGCTGATGCCACTGTAGAATTGCATTATATCGAATAAGAGGATTGTAGAATGTTTTGGACTCACGCCTCTTTATTTTCTCTCTACTACGACAGACAGAAAGGAGGCTCCCCTAATATCCTTCATATTGGAGGAAAATATTAGGGTGACCTAATACATGTGTGAAGGGAAAAGTGTATAATATATTAATCTCCTCACGTCAAGCAAAAGTCATAAGAAAATTTCAATTTTGGTGAGTATTTTAGATAGAAAAGAGAGAAGAAGAAATTAGTAACATATTTAGTAACATTCCCATTTACTAAATTAGACATGCAAAATGTACTATCTGAAGTACATAGTTTGAAAATATTTTTTTATAGAATTAACATGAAGGAAAGTTAAAGAGAAAACAAGAAACCTGATTCGTGTCCTGAGTTGGCATAGTAAATTCATCAATTAGAAGAATTTTCGGCAGATCGGACTGGTTTGAAATGTGGATAAGAGAAGTAGGAGCAAATGACTGAATAAAAGCTGGTTGTTTCAACCATTCTTTCGACATATAAGAACCTTTGTATCCGTACTTCTTGAGAGTTTCCACAAACTTGTCCTCAAATTTCTTACCGCCCGGCCATTTTACCTAATGAAAACACGGAAAGTAGAAAACCATTTCTAGTAAACACCTTTTAGAAACTATAAACTGAATATAATTAAGACAAACTATGGAAACTCACTCTTTGATTGATGAATACTGGATTTTTCATCTCGGGATATATTCCAACAACTCGGTTGGCATCCAATGCAATTGAAATGAACTCTTCAAATGTAATAATAGAAAATTTTCCTGCAGAGAATGAAGTAACCAATTTACATGAAAAATATTAATATTTTCATCAAGCACAGCAACGTTTTCCTTTTACATCACCAGTCTAAGACACATTTACTTGGGGATTTGCTGACAAGAAGATTAAAGATTGATTTTGTTAATCTTAATTGTGTATTTCGAAAGAAAGACAAAAAGGATATTTTTGTTTGTAAGCAGAGCTTATAACCAAACTCAGCTAAGTTGAATGCAATGCAACAGCGGATAGGGAATGCACAATAACTCCCAATTTTATCAAAAATATGCCTGATAGTGATTGTATCGTGGGGGTACAACAAACTAATTTTGAAGTAATATGCAGTTGGATAGAACCTAGTTACCGGGATTGGAAAAGGAGCTCCGGAGAAAGCCTCTAATCTTGAATATTAAGCAAAAATACTTTCTATATTGTAATTGCTTGGGCCATTGAATTGGTTGCTTAAACATTTTTCAACAGGTTTTCTAAAAGCTTGTTTTAACTTCATTAAAAATTCCCCTCCATTCAAAAGTACATAAAAAATCTCCAGAATTTCTCTTCCTGCAATTTTGGTGGATTATGAAAGTGCATAACCCTCCTTAGATTAACTTGACGACTATATTCCTAATTAGTTAAATGATAGGTTTAAGAACCTTATGTTCATCTATTGCAAAATATGAAAATTTACGTTGTTCAAAACTTAAATGTAGTTGATCTTATATGTTACGAACCAAGTTTAAGGACAAATTATAGAAGATTATATCTATAGGTAAATTTAACGGTAAGAGGCTCAAATGACGAGGGGACTGACCATTATACTGCTGATCCCGGAAATGATATCTCTGCTTCACTCGCAATGACTTTAGCTCTTTAAGTGTGAAATCAACTGCATGTCATAACCAAAAAGTGATCATGAAATATATGGTCATTTTAGATGAATTATATATTGTTTCAACTACTTCTGAATGCATAGCAAGAAAATAATAATCAGGAACAAAAAAAAAAAAAAAATACATATAGAAGCATCGTGACATAACAGCTTAAAGTTGGACGGTTCGAATTTGAAGAAAACACTGTAAGCAAATACTGCAAATAATAATACAAGTTTGACAATTGCCAGAGTCTGTACCTACGAAGTAGCCAGTAAGATTGAGCCCTTGAACTTCATAGGTCCGCTTACGGTCGATGAACTCCAGGTGTTCAGCTATATCAGTTGTATTATCAAGACATAGATCATGGAAGGATATAAGAACACCGTCTTTGGAGGCCAAAATGTCTGTTTCTATGAAATCAGTTCCTTCTTCAATGGCTCTCTGCAAGTTAATGTGTCATGCAGGGAAAACTACTCTAGTTCTGTCTTGACATCAAAGGTTTGAATATTGGAATCCTAAAACTGTTTATTTTAATAAAAAAATTATAAATTGTTTAGTCATTTTCGCTTCTTAAATGTGCATAAACCAAGATGTTTTGGTTGTTTTGTGAAATAATAATTCTGAAAGTGATGCATGCAAACCCGACTGATTACTTACAATGAGCAGGAAATTTCACAAGAAATATTTTCTAGTAAACATTTGGATTTGCAGATCATCATCATATATAAATACCTTATACGCAGCGGTAGTTTCTTCTGGAATTTCTCCATTTGATCCTCGATGTGCAATGTTATATGGGCGAAATGTTTGCAGGGGCTGTCGATTTCCATTGTGTCTCCAACTAGGGAGTGGGTAAAGAGATCTTGCAGAGCACCCAACAAGGAGTAGCATAAAAATGAAAGGGAAAACACCTGCAAAGTCCATTAATAGATGGCACATTTGAGTACGATGTTGAAGACATAGTTTAAATAAATAAGTTTTTCCACTCTCTAACAGATGAAGCTTTAGACAAGCCGGTTCAATGTTGATCACAGTAGATAAAGATCCCAAGTTCAAGTATTGGCACAACCCACTCATTCATTTAAAAAATGTTCCCATGTCAGGAATTTGATGAAAAGGCTTGAGGTGTAGTGTTGAAGACATATTTTAAACAAAATATGCTTATCTACTCTCTAACAAGTTAAGATGTGGTGGTTCAACAATCGATGAAGGTGTATCAGGTACCAACATGTTCTTTACCTAGACACAATTTCAAAACAGCACAAACTCCAGAATTTAAGTGGTCGCATTACACAAATCAATATTCCTAAGTTACAAGTCAACATTTTCAGTGGTAACAATAATGTGATGTGATCACCAGGAATTAAATCAAAATCAAATTAATACATTACACTCTTAAGATCATCTTCATTTGAAAAATAGTATCACTAGTCAAATTTTAAGGATTTAACTTTTGCAACCATTTTACTTTCAAAAAAAGAAAGGTTATCACTAGTCTTCATATCATCAAGAATTGCACATAAATATAGAAAGAAATGAAATTTTCTTCAATGCATGCATATGATGAGTAATGTTATGTAGAAATTTAGAAGAATCTTTCTATTCGGTGTTATTGCTGCTGTTTGTTCCTCAAATGGTTATATGTTTTATTTTCCTGTTTCCTTTTTTCTTAAAGCAAAGGAGGAACAGACTACTCATGTTATCAATAACAATTAGAATTGAAGTTTGAATACAATGCTTTTGGAACATGCCATTTTTGGATCGGAATAATCTCACAAGGTGAACAAATTAGGAATGGCAAAAAAACCCTTTAAACTTGATACTTGTAGGTCCCCGCTCCGCTGCCTAATCGGGTAAACGGGGCAGGACATGGGTCGTTGCCCCGAATCGGGTACGGGACGGGTACAAGAAATATGGTCCCCGCCCTGCTACCCGTCCTATTCAAAGTTTATTTTATCAAACAAAAGAAAAGAATTATTATCCTTTCTAAAGGGAACATGGATTGTTCTTATAAAATTGGAAAAAAAGTAATAATTTTCACGAACTAAAGACATAAAAAAATAAACGGGCGGTAAACGGGATAGGATTTGGCCCGCTCCGCTCCGCCCCGTCCTGCCTTGCCTTAATCAAGTATGAAGATGATACAAGGTGATAAAAATACACAACGGGACGGGAGGCAGGAATGACCAACCCACCATGTTGCTATCCCCAGAACAAATATACTTGCGTTTTTTAACTAAGTCCATATTTGATGGCCATTATTCTGAAAAAATGGAGTTTTGAATAGTGAATTTTTTTTTAGAGAATGTGTGGTTAAAAAGAAGAGAAATTTTTTGGATTTACATTAAAAATATTTTATTGCATAAATCATAAATGAGTGGTTGAAATTGAGTATGAAAATTAAAAATATTGTTTTAAAGGGAGACAAACAAGGGCTAAAATATTATCCATAATTAAGAATAAATGTCAAAGAGATAGGTATGCAAGTGAATTCATATCAAGCACTTCATTTTCTAATCTTCTTAGTGTCCTTTCTTTGTATTATATAGTATTCTGTCAAACTTCTTTCCATTGTTATGTTTGTACAAACCATATACATACTCTTCTCCTTTTTAAAGCACTATCATTACGACATTACCTTGTACAGCATATAAATTTGCATTCACACACACGTGCACGCTTATAATCAACGACACTAACTTCAGATGAGACATAAGTAGCATATGAAAGAAAGAGAAGAACATAAAGATGAAATAGAATTTTTAGTCCAGCTCTTTCAAACACATTTCCTGATTTCAATAAGCAATGTTTCAATTCACTTCAGTCACATAACAGAATGTCTTCTTTTTCCTTTTATTCACTTATTCTGTATGATTTGCCTCTTGGACAACAACCATTTCAAGAGTCAAACATCCACATTAATAGCCATTAGCAAAGTATATGGACAAAATAATTGCTACTAAGTACTTACTGACCAGACACTGACCACTATCCGTTACTCATTAAATAAAACATCAGATTTTTTCAGTTTAATTTCAGTGGCGCAACATTCCCTTTTAGTTTTATGTGACATATTATATCTCAGAAGCAATAAATTCCAACAGTGTTTGCCTGCCAACATTCAAAAACAGGGTGCAATTCATACTGAACTTAAAGCCAAATTCCATCTGAATTTTTACTTTTTTAGCGACTTGATTGAAATTGAAAAATGGGCGGGGTCTAATGACCGAAAGCTATAAATTATAGTTAAATTACTAGTCAAACATATCTTCAACACACGAAGAAAAGAGTTCAAGATATATAAAATCCATCTAAGATAAGTGATTATGTAACAACCATAGACTTCCCCTACAAGCCATTTCGCACAAGGGCTATTCTAGGACGCGAATTAAATCCATGCTGGGTTGAACCTCAGTAGACCATATATTAGAATCCCACATTGCTTGGGAAAATATAAATGATCCACTTAATAAGGTGAGGACAATCATCCCCTAATAAGTCGATTTATTAGGTGGAGTTAGGCCCAATATTCCTAATATGTTATCAGAGCTAGGCCCAATTATGCAATGTTGGGTGCTACCCATTATCGATTTGTTCACAGTTGTTTGGCATGGTCCACGCTGTGCATGAGGGGGCGTATTAGAATCCCACGTTGCTTGGGAAAATATAAATGATCCACTTAATAAGCTGAGGACAATCCTCCCCTAATAAGCCGGTTTTATTGGGTGGAGTTACCCCTAATAAGTCGATTTTATTGGGTGGAGTTAGCCCAATATTCAATATTCCTGACCCCATACGTATTCTAAAGATGCACGGAATAGCACCAGAAACAAAGGGCTTGTTCGGGAAGACAGCGGTCGTTACAGACCCACTAGCCAAACTGAAAAGCCACAATATACATAAACAATGCCAATAAACGTATGGATTTCTCCACATTTAGAAAATAAATATAAAATATGAACTGACACAAATACAAATCTATATCCACAAGAATGATTACGGAACAAGAATCGGGTTTTGACACTTACTCCGAGAAGGAGAAGCCATTGGTGATGCTCCTCTTTTCTGGGCTATACTTTCCTCTTCTTGGATTGCTCTTTAATTTTCTTGAAGCATAGCATTATGATCGATCAGATTTCTTCTATATATAATACTCTTAGCTGATGATTCCTTGACTTAACTTTTTCACATAATTCTCGGCATATTCCTTAATTTGATAACCTAATCATAAGAGATAGAATGGCAGATTTATCATAACCGTTAATTTAAAGAACGTGTGATTGATGGAGGGTGGTGATTTTCTTTGACAAATGCAATTGGACAAGAGCTGTCATTTTAGAATTTGCTTTCGAAATGAATTATTTGGTACGGGAAAATAGCGGGTAAATATGAAAGCATTGACCTTTCAGGGTCTAGCAGCCTGCCGATGACTTCACTGGTTTAGATAGGGATGGCAGTGGACTTGAGAGACTTGGAACGTGTGGGCTCTGGCTTAGAAGGGGATGATAGTGGACTTGAAAGACTCTTGTACCCTGTTTGGTAGAGATTAAGAGCATGTTTGAATCTCATTTTTTTTTTTTCTTTTTTGGAAATAATGCATTTTGAAATATTATTTTGATGAAAAATGTGTGTTAAAAAATAAGAATTTTTTTTGGATTTGCGTATAATATTATTTTATTGAATAATGTGTGGTTGAAAAGAAGAGAGAAAAATGTATTTTAAAAATAATGAGTACCGAACTAGGGTTAAAATCAGATTTTTAGTAGATTTTAATAGAAGTTGCTAAAATGTGTGATTAAAAAATTATGAGAATCATAAATATGTGGTTAAAATTAATCATTGACTTTAATTTAAATTAAAATCTAGATTTTAATTCCTACTAAACTGAGGCTAAACTCAGGAGCCTGTGTGTTTGTCTCACGAAATTCGCGCGTGCAGCTTGAGTTCAATAAAAATCGAGTTCAAGCCTCATGAACAGAGCTCGAGCTCGGGCAAGCTTGTTCATGAACCTAAAAATTTAAATATTTCTTTTTCGCGTGTTTTATCTTTGATTACTAATTACAATTTTCTTCACCCTTCTCTATATTATCAATTTACAAGCTTCAAAATGTTGTATATCAATCTTTAGATCCAGACATTCAAGAAGCAAAAATAAGAGAAAACGGATAAAACAAGAAAAGGGAACGGGGAAATTGGAAATTATAAGTTACGAAGAGCGAAAAAGTAGGTAGGAGACTAGGAGTTATGAAGAGCGAAAAAGTAGGTAGGAAAATAAATATTTTGAATTTTAGGAGGTGTTTGTTTTTTATTTGAGAATTGATTCTCAAATCAATTCTCATTTTCAACCGCACATTCTTCAATAAAATAATATTTTCCATCACATCAATAATTTTTTTTTCCTTTTCAACCACACATTTCCCATCATATCACTATTCAAAATCAATTCTTCCCCCAAAAATTTTTACCAATCGTATCAATAATTTTTTCTTCTTTGTCAACCTCACATTTCCCATCATATCACTATTCAAAATCAATTCTTCCCCAAAAAATCCCTACCAAACAAGCTCTTGTTATGTTGAAAAGATTACCGAATCATTGTAAAGTGTAAGTTCTTAAAAACGAATAATAAATTATCCAATAAGCGATCTTTTAAAGAGAACTCCCTTTACGTTGTTTGTAGTCAACTTCTACCTTTACGAAGAGGTGAGCCAAGCCGAGCCCAGTTTGTCTTTGAACACTAGGCTGATGTTGAGGCTGGTGCAATAGGCTATAACGATGGCAATTAGTAATGTCTAGCATAATCAATCCATAAGGTTCAAAAAGCTGAGAATTTACAAAAACAACATAAATTAAGAGACTTCACTGCACAACCACAAGTTTGTCACGACGAATTTGATATTCAAATGGTTCAGGTGGATTCTTTCATTTGGGATTCATCACTCTGCATATGAGCAACTAATCCGATAGTGGTTCGTTCTACATTCCTTTTATACAGTCAAACAACAGAACCAACTCTTGTTCTCCTAAAGGATCAAATAATACGGTGAACATTGATGCAGTTTACGCAATTTGCAAATTCTTCATAACATCCTTCCAAACTTTTTATTTCCCAATAATGGGACTTTTGAGTACATGTTTGGTCCATCAACTGATAGGAATAAATGAACAAAAATTTTAACGTTTTTTCCCTTCTTTAATAATGTCTAGTATTTGTCCAATCCAACTTATCCAACATGCCATGAAAGTTATAATCAAGATTCTAATTTTAAACATGGAAAACTCATTCAATTGATCTTCGCTTAACAGGCTATTTCATTTTGGAAAATAATGTGCAGAAACAAAATTAACTCGAAGCTCGACTTGTGGGTACACAATCATGATCCATAGTTATATGGCCATTAGATCACCATATTGGCGCATCAAGACAATGGAGCCAGCAAAGAGACCTACTGCACGGAGTAATTTCTGCATGAAAAAAGAGGCGAATAGGTAATAAGCAAGCAAAAAATGTATTATGTATACAGCTAAAAAAAAGAGAGACTCTGAAACCAACTAGCAGTTCAACACATGCTCTTTATAATATAGAATAGATATGGGAAACAAGCTATTCTATAAATTTTTATACCTTACGCTATTGGTAGAAAAAAAAAGAACTATACAAATTAGGTTACTTGCAAAAAAATTTAATTGTCAGACAAATTTGTCATTGACGAAGACACGATATATTATATTGTCAAAATGTAAATAAAAGGTGAATCAGAAATGGGGAAGAAATAAAGAAAAAAGAAATAGTTATTGCATAAAACTCAAAGAACTACAAGATGTTGCGTTCTAAGCGCCATTTCATTGACGAACAAGAATAGTAAAAGGTTACGCTAATAGAGCCACGCCAACTGCTAAGCATAATAGCACTATTGGCACCCCCTTCCCCATCCCCCATTCAAATAGCAATTCATCTTACTATTTAAGTGGCAAACAGTTGTAGACGAAATATATAATCAAGTAAATGAATGAGTAATTAGTACTTTCAAGGTGAAAATGGGCCTTAGTTTGGGAGTAAAAACCTAACTGTGGTAGCAATAATTGAACGTGTGAAAATCCTAATAGCATAAAACTCATTCAACTACGAGATGAATCAAGGTCTAGCACATTGCTTTCCACGCCTCATATATATGCCATTTCACTGAAGAACGAGAAGAGCTATGCTAATAGAAAGGAAAGAAATCCTAATTGACTGCCACGCATAACCATTCGGATCCCCCCCCCTTTCTCCATCTGCCTCTTCAAATGCTATTTTTTTTTTTTTTTTCAAATCGTATTATTTTACTGTGGAACATCTGTAGATGAAACGTAACAATTGAAATACTCTACACACTTCCCTCGATCAAAGAATACACCAGGAGTTCCTCTCTTTATCTTCTTTATCTTGAATATATGCCCAATAGAAGCGTTTCACTGTCACAGTCTCAAGACAACACTCTTCACAAAGTCCAGTTAAAAATAAAAGGTAAAATGGAGAAGGAAATGATTGCTGGAACAAAGCATATCAAGACTCAATTAATACCTTCAAGAAAGAAAAGCGAAAACTAGGTTTGCAATATGATCCATCCAATTTCCAACCACTAACATAAAAAGGGATCGGGTTACAATTTCTTTCCTTATCCAAATTATTATCCATTCATGATTCAACACACTTCATAATCTATTACAATAGTCCACAAAGTTTAAGCTTCAATGAATAAATGAATAACTAGCAAAGCAAAAAATCATTCGTAAACCAGGTCTAAGTTTGAGACTGAAAGCAAACTGTGGAAGCAATAATTTAACGTCTGAAACCCTAATTTCATTGAAAAAATCGTAATCAATTGCAGAATAAATACAATAACAAATCGATAAAAAAAAATTGATAATGATAAACTCGCGAAAGCAGAAACAAAAAGGGGGGAAGAATAAAAAATTACCTTGTTGAGATCCCATTTATCTGGGTCATGGACCTGCGAATGATAAAAAGCTTTGATTTTTTCAACTGATATCACTGCATCAGCCATTTTTAACCTTTCTTTCTTTATTCTGGGTAGAGAGAGACAAAGAACTGTGTTTTTCGAGCGTGTAGGGGCTAGGGTTTTAGAGAATTGTATTTTGGGTTGGGTTGGGGTTGGGGTTTGGGTAGGGTTGGGGTTATTTATTTATTTGGGATTAGTTTGCATTTATTTAAAAAAATTGGAACTGCAGTTAATTTTTTTTTTTTTTTTTAATTTTCAAAATTGTTTCTCATGTCTAAAAATCAGTGTTCTAAAATGCGCGCAAATGAGCCGCTTAGGCACGTCTAGGCAGGGCGCACGTAGAAAACGAGTCAAATTGGGCAATGCGCGTAAAAATGCGGTCAACAAAAAGGCAATGCGCGTAAAAATGCGGTCAACGATTTTTGTTGACCGCCTAGACATCTCAATGAGCAATAATGCGCGCATAGGACGCGCATCAGGAGAGCCTATGCGCCCCTAGGCGCGCATTGAGACGCCCATTTTTTTTGATATGATATTAAAAATTATTTTTTTAATATAAAAATCTATTTATTATATTAAAATAATATTAAAAGTATCAAACGCATTATGACGTTTATTCTCCGTATTGACACGCTTAAACTTGTGATTCTTGATTCTCGATTTCGACACATCGCAACGCATTACGCATTTTAGAACAATGCTAAAAATTAACGATTTCAATGATGTTCACCAATTGAATTATATATTTTTCAAATAATTCAAAGTAACGACAAAAAAATAAGGTTGAAAATACAATTATGACCATGAATGAACTTCAAAATTAAGATTACAGTGACCATTTAATTTTTTTGATAAAAACTTCATGAAGACAATGGCATAAAGGAAACTTCAGAAGTACAGTGATCATTTTGAAAAAAAAAATTGAAGTTTAGACAACAACATTGAAATTTATCTTTATTTAAATCAGAACTCTTTAATTCTCGTACTCATTTTCAATAACACATTCTCATTTTGCATGTAAATTAAAATTTTTTCCTACTTTTAATTACAATTCTCCAAAAAAAAATCATTATTCAAGACATTAGGAGTGTAGTGACCATCGTGACCCCCTTGAATTAATTTTAGTATATCTTTCACCGTAATATTGGATATTTAAAAAATCATGTAAATTAATGTACTTTCACAAATATTGATAAATTAAACATTATTTAAATAAATTCGAAGTTCTTACTACATAATTACTTATATATAAAATCATTGCAAAGAACTGTAATAATCACAAATGCCCCGATTTTCTTTGAATTTCACAATTTATTCCATGAAGACGACTTGGATCCAAGTTAGTGACCAGATAAAATACCATTTGAACTAAGGCCCTGTTTGATGGGCTTAATTTTCCTTGAAAGTTGGCAAATATTTTCCTTTTTCAACCATTTCTCTTGTTCGAAGGACAAGATTTGGCTTGAAAAATATTTTCCCACACCCCCAACCATGCGCCCATTTTCCATCGAATCTTTGAATTCCTTTTCCCACTTTTTTGATAGGAAAAGGAATTCCAGCTTTCTGGCCATTTTTCTTGAAATGGAAATAAATTTCATAACTAATTGTAAAAAAAAAAAAAATCACTTTAATGGACAATTTTTATGTAAAACGAAACCAAACGAACACTAAACTTTGATGAAAAAAATAGTTTTCGAGGAATTTTTTTTTTTTGTACTTTTTCGCAATAGTAACAAATTTCATAACTAATTTTAATTTTTTTTACTTTAATGGACAATTTTCATGTAAAATAAAGCCAAATGTGAATAAAAAGATCCAAAATTTCGAAATTTTTTCCAGGTGAAAAATTATACCAATCAAACACACTATTAACAATTCCTTAGAAAACAAATTCTAGGCAATTATTTTTCCTAGAATTCATTTTCTTTCCATCAATTTTCCACAATTGCAATCAAACGGATCCTAAGCTATACCATTCAATATGCTTTAATTTATAAGTCCAAAATCTTTTACGTGGTGTGATTATAAGTCCACAATCTTAAAAATATGAGGTTATGAATTCTAATTTGATCCTCTTTACTTCAAAACTTTTTATTTTTTATATTCATTTTCAACCGCACATTTAAATATTAAAATTTTTTTCACGTAAATCCAAAATTTTTCATACTTTTTAACCACATATTCTCGACAAAAATTACTTTTTAAAACATCATTTTCCCCTAATTTTTTTTATAATAACCATCAATCAGAGGCTAAATTTTATGCATCTTGATCCTTACGTGAATAAAATTGTTAATGTGGACAACATTGAACTTCTAGTTATGTACGATTTTAATATTCACATTAACAATTACTAGCACACGAGGATTCAAATTTACAAATCATCTTTGGAAGATGCCAGATGGGAACCAAAACTCATATTAATTGAAGACGAGTGATAAAATTTGCAAGCAAATGAAAGTTGTGTGATTTAATTGCACTAAATTGAAGATGTATGACCTGAATGCAACTGTGCTCAAAGTCGAGTGACCCACAATGCATTTAACTCGTGGACGACAGAAAATGAAATTGAAATTGAAGTGGCCATTTTTTCGTCCACTCATTATCGATATACTAGCTAAAAATTCGAGTATGATTTGGGAGAAGAGACGATAATGATGGTGAGCATGGCAAGTGCATTGACATTCTGCTCTGCATCATATTCTCCACTTTTGATTCGATCCATGGCGGCACAGCAGAAGCCAATTCCTTCAGCTACCAAAACTGTTGGCTCAAAAAAGGTCATTCATTATTGCAATCCCAATATTCATTTTACTGCTTGCATTTTGTGATTTTGAATGTACATATCGAATGCGTGTATGTAATTGTGTGTGTTTTATGGGATTTGTGTTGGATGGGAGGAAGAAGAGTAATACTACGTCGCACCGTAGCCTGTGGATTTAAGCGGCGTCGTATTGCAGAACTTCATTTAGCTGTAATTTATGCCATGTCGAAGTAAAAAGAATTTCGTACGTATATATGGATTGTGTGTATTTTTTCTGGTTTTTTTGTTGGAGGAAAGAAGAGATAGTCAGACGTCGCAGAGTCCATGAGGATTTAAGCAGCGTCATGCTATTGAACTTCATTCAGCTGTAATTTATGCCATCAAGGTATTTGTTTTAAAAGGAAAAGAAAATAAATTGAAACAGGTTTCTGCTGCTGAGCTTTAGCCTGAATCTTTAAATAAATTGGCGAAGTAAATTAACTTTAATGATGAGGAAAATTTCTCGAAATTGTTTAGATCAAAACACGTGTCGCATATATATGAAAACTATAAGCAACATATAAGGCTTGGCGGGCTTGTGAAAAAATTGGCCTTTTAAGATGGAACTTGAAACTCGATAGGAAGGATGAAAATAGCTAGAGAGACCTTTGTTAGTCAATATTTTATAGATTTCCTGCGCCTTCTTCCATCAAACCATAATTGAGACAATTTTGAGTAGGGGTGGGTGCGGTTCGATTTGGGTTGGTTTCGACCCCAACCCGAAACCAAAACCAAAATAGGCGGTTTGTAAAAATTTCAACCCAAACCAACCGACCCTCTAGCTCTTAAACTGAACCAACCCAAACCAATTGGTTCGTTTTGGTTTGGTTCAGTTAGTCAGTTTAGACTTTTAAATAATATTGCATCATAAAAAATGAAAAGTCATGCAAAAAATAATGTAAGAAAATAACCAGAACAAAACCGAATCTAGGCAGGATATGATCATAATTGAAAATAAGAAAATAAAATTTATGTTACAAGAAAGAAACTCAAGCACAAAAAATAAATTGTGTTAACATCTAATATCTAGATTTTAGGAAAATAAATATCCAGGAAAGTAAAATCCAAATTCCAAAAAGTTGTCCGCCAGGCACAGCCACACATCCATCATTTTGAATCACCTTCACCTACAATACGTGGTAACCTGAATCATATTTCATTGTAAAGCTAAGATCAAATGCGATGCAAAACAATAAAATTACCTTACGCAAACACATAAACTGAATTATTTATCTTTGATGTTGGAATCTTCATCCGTTTTTGTTGCTTCCGAAAGTTCTAAAAAATAAAATGATTCAATTAATAGTACATAAAATTGAAACACGTGTAATTAACAGACTAAGTGAAATAGTTAATTACCTTCATCCAATTTATTATAATATTCAACATCCTCCATGTAAAATTTGTCTTCCCTTGGAGTAGATTTGAGCCAATTTTGAGTGCACGTCATCTTCACAAGCATCAAATAAATATCTTTCCACGTCATTTTTTATCTCAACTGAATCTTTTGCTGCTTGTTGCTCCTTAAACTTGGAAATACGAGTAGAAGATGCACTAGACGTGGAACTGACTTTACTTGTAGAAGATAACCCACTTGCAGATGTATCGATTGATACTTGATTGCTTTCTGGACTTTGCTCATACATCACATACCAATCATAAGTAGAAAATAAATTTTCCTTCAATGTTTGGGTCATTGTACAAGCCAATTGTTTATCATTATAAATATCACAAAAACAATAATGAACATATTCCAATTTCTATTTTGGATCAAGCACGGTAGCAATCAACAACATTTGATTGACATTGTCCATATTCCCCCAATATATATCAAAATTTCTCTTCATATTAGTAGCCATTACCTGTATTTGGTGTTGCTGGGGTTCCACCAATATATTCACATTCATCATCAATATACATAGTTAAACCTGGACAAAGTGTACACCAATTACAACAAAATTCAGATTTCAGTTAATAAGGCAATGATATTGTATATCATATTATAATGTCTATTCATTGAACAGCAAAAGCATGATCAAGATAAAGACTAGATAGGGTAAGAGACTAATTCTGCAACAACTTACTGTATATGGGATAGCAAAATGAACAGATGGTCAAAATTAAGCATATGGATTAACTGAGAAATATCTCAGTTAATCCATATGCTTAATTTTGCTATCCCTTCATTCCTTTGTAGAAAAATGAAGTGACTTGTTGATAGAATGACCCAATTCTGACCCACTGATGATGCGGAAGAAGATGTCTCAGTTAATCCATATGAAATTAGTCTACAACCAACTCAATCCATAAAAAACTTTCACTCTACAACAAAAGATTCATATAAAATATACAGCTAGCACAAACACAAATCCAATCATAATTTGAATTTCAAGCAAATGGTCAATATTTAAATAAGAACACTAAAATCGAACCAGATCAGGCTTTAGAAGTAACTTACTGAGTTGATTGAGAATTTGGATTGCAACGGGAGAGTTGAGACGGCGAGAGATTGGAGAGATGGAGATCATATAGGGTTAGGGTTGAATCTGTGACTGAACTTCTTTTAAAAAAAATAAATTGTAACCCGCTAGCGGTTTGGGCTGGGTCGGTTCACCACCGATTTGAGGTCTCAGCCCACCAACCAAACCAACCCAATATGGTTTTGCATAATAAGAACCAAACCAAACCAATAGATTAAATGGAACCAACCCGAACCAGCCTGAACCGGTTCGGTTTGATTGGTCTAGCCTGTTTATCGATTTTTTGGCTCACCCCTAATTTTGAGATGGGTGGAGTGGAGCTGATCGGATGAAAGAAATGAGTTCATAGAGTTTGATTTATGTGTGTATGAAGATAGAGGACTGGAGGTAGAGAGGAAGAAGAAGATGATAACAGGATGACTATATAACATACACAATAGTATTTGTGACATTGCGTCAACTTGACTCAGATGAATAGAGAGGGTCGAGTTAGTTGAGTAGGCGTTGAGTTGCCATTTTTACTAAGGATATCGAAAACAGATTGGTTGACAAAATTTTTGAAATTAAGGCTACTTTAAAAAAATTGCCTAAGTGCCTTTATGTATCAAAATAAATAACAATAAATAGAAGAGGTTTTCCCCCCCTACTAACATCATTAACATCCATTGCTAAACTGATGGCGTTTCTAACCTACAGCTGTGGAAACTGTTAAACCACATTACCTTACAAATTCAAAAGTTTGACATTATTGGATACGAGTAAGAATGAATGCTTTGCAGTAGTCCAAAACTTAATATTTAATTTAGTACATCTATTGTAACACCTTACAGGTACTGCACATCAAATTTTGTATCATGAAACTTTTTGCCAATCTTTCACTCTATATTGCAACACACATCATGCATGCTCTCTATTGGACATTATGGTTCTATTTTCATACTTTTTTTTATTAAGCAAGGAATTGGCCCTTAACATTGAAATTAGAAGTGATTATTTGTGACTCGAATTGATTTTCCATGAACTTCAAGTTTCCGAAAAATATGTAATTTTATTTTAGTCATAACTTCGTGTATTCGTGCTTGAAATTCTTGCCAACATAGTAAATGGATGTTCCCATTAAGGGTTTCTTTGAATTTGCTGCCTAGTTTGTATTCCTGTATTTGACTGGTCTTATTTCTAGTTAGTTTGAAGTCTGCTACATAATCTTTTTCCACTCTGTGTATTAACATATGTCGAATATCTTTAATATTTGGCAAACACTTTCTCTAAATGCAAGAGAAAAAAATGTTACTGTTCCCATTTGGTTGTTTCCTGTTATAGCTTCTCATGCTAAAAGGAAGAAGCTCATTTCAATGCAGAGTACAACCGTTTTCCCTCTTGGGGAGCCTGGCCCTCGAGTCAGCTCTTCAACATCAACGCCACCAGTGAAGCTATTAACACGTGTAGAGCAGCTACGACTCCTAACCAAAGCAGAGAAAGCCGGCCTGCTATCAGCAGCAGAAAAATTTGGGCTATCCTTGTCTACTATCGAGAAACTTGGCCTCCTTTCTAAAGCAGAGGAATTTGGTGTCCTTTCAGCTGCAACTGACCCAGGAACCCCATCGACCTTCCTGAATCTGAGCTTGGTTTTGCTTATTTTGGGTCCAGCTTTTGTCTACTTGGTGCCTGAAGACTACCCTTGGGAGATTGCATTGCAGGTTGTAATTGCTTTGCTCTCTGTAGTTGGTGGATCTGCTGCTCTTGCAGCATCAAATCTTGTATCCAATTTGCAGAAATTGAGCTAAACTTGCAGAAACAAGGAATTATGGGGTTTTAAGCATTAACTCTTTCATTCCTCTGCTATATATTGATTTTCGGATCGAATATCTCGTATATGCACAATAATTTTTTTTTTTTAACAATCATGTTACATGCATATTATCTTCTACATCTTTCTTTATATTGTGCTACGTGACAACACATCTTTGAACATTTTAAAATTTTGACAGTTTTTTCATTCAATCATCAGTTGTCAACACACACAATGTCAATCATGATGTCAAGAAAGAATGTACGAATGATATTTCCCCCCTTTTTAAGTGGGATTCTTTTGTAGTATTTACGAATATAATTAAGGACGAGTTATAGTATAATTATCCGAGGCTTAATGGGCCTACCAAATGTGAAATAACATACATCATCGTGTTTTACACTTAAAATGGCCAATTTGGCATATGCTTTGGCATTTTCCTGTAGAAGTTATTTTTACCAGAAGAAGCTTTTTTAAAATTATCGTAACATATCTAAGAATAATTTTTAATTTCAAAAACAGTTTTGACTTTTCAAAAGTTTTGTCGTGCTAAAAAACATCACATGATTAATTTGATTAAATGTTTACTACCCGAATTCAGTCATGATAATGAAGTAAAAATAAAATTGATGATTCTAATCAGTGAGCAATAGCTGCAGTACGGCATATGCTCGTGCGCAACATGACCCTATACACATCGCGTGCTTGTGCGACTGATCACAAAAGGTCCTTAGCAGCCTAGGCTCTCACACCTTTATACTTTTTTATAAGACGTGGCCAGAGTTTTATATTATTCTAAATAATTTATTAGCACTTTTTAAAATAAAATAATTTATTTTTCATACTCATTTTTAATCATACGTTCACACAATAAAATATTTTGTACGTTAATTCAAAATCTTGTTCATATTTTTTAATCATACATTCTCCTGAAAAAAAACTATTCAAAACGTTATTTTTGCACAATAATGACCATCAAACATAGGCTAAGTCTTAATGGCTAGTTGACCGAACAATTGTGTGTGACGGAAAGTGAAGTGAATAGGTAGGGATAAACTAGCACTTGCATTTCTGTTTGAGCCCCATTTTTTTTTTTTTTTTTTTTGGTATAGAATGCATTTTGAAATAGTAGACCGATAGAGAATGTATGATTAAAAAATAAAAAAATGTTTTGTGTTTGCCTATAATATTATTTTATTGAAGAATGTATTTTGAAAAGAATGAGAATCAAACAACCGCCAAGAATTGCATTATTGGTGGTTTCTCTCTGAATTGGATCACGTTTTTGCCTGCATTACAAGTGTGATGGCTCTGAAATTTTCAGCACCAAAATAACAGTCTGAATTGAAAATGACACATCAGAGAGAGAGAGAGAGAGACAGAATTTTGGATCGTTCTAACTAGTAACTACCATATTTAGTATTGTTTTTAATTCTTCAATTTCGTAGCCTTAGTAGGTGTATGCATTTAAGAATTTTAAACTATTTCTCTCCCTCTGAAACACACATATGTCCCACTTATAGTTATGTATTTGTTAAGATGGTGAGATGATGATTGGTTGGAGTGGTTGACAAAGAGTGATGGTGATCATGATACCAATACCTTTTTTTTTAATTTTTTTTTCGAAACCCAAAAACGAATCTCGTTTGAAGATCAGCAGCAAACAAGAGGCGAAATGAAAATTGGGTACAAAATATCCAATTTTCATGAAGTGTTAATGATCGAATGAACTATTTCATGACCCGCAACCGACCTCTTTAAGTAGAGCTATAATATCAGAAATTACAAGTACATTCGATGTGAACATATTCATAGGATTTCAAGTGTTAGAATGAGTTGGATAGCATCAGGTTTGACCACGCCAATCTTTAGCCCATATTCTTCTGTGAAGACTAAACAATCCCAAAGTGCTAGTGCCTTGAGTCAATCACAGAAAAGTATGTCGGGTCACTTAGGCCTGGGAAAAGCCTTGCACCGGTCCCACATGGGCTGGCTTGGCTCCCTTGAAGGTGCATACCCGGCTCGTAGTATGAGCTGACATGTCCAGGAGAAGGCATTCCCGGTTCTTTTAGTATAGCTAGGAAGTTAATTCTGGTATTGAACTAGCTATATGGTATGTGTGTGTTTTGCAAGAAAAAAACTGAGGATTCGTCTGGTATTTGGGATCCATTTATAAATGCTAGTTTTATCCTGGCACATATAGCGACAATTCGAACCTTGGGATCCATGCCTTTTATTTCCTTTTACCTGAATGCACTCCAGTATATAGACAGTGTACTCAGACATACTGAAATGGCAACCATTATTCACATCACGAAAAAGAGCAATATCTGATAGGATAGCCTCAACAGGGTGAGTCGCATTCCACTCAATGCAAAATCCATTCCTTCTGGCTAAGTATGTCTAGTTTTTTCTTAATTTCGTTGTTTTTAACATTTTTTTTGTTTTTCACTTTGTTCATTGCATGCCTGTATTCAACTAGAAATAGGACAATGCGACATATAAGTATCCTGAAAGTTGTAGTCAGGACAACAGTATTTAGTCATGGGATTTACATAATCTAGGATTTTTGTTTTGGGAGCAAAATGAACTGAATAAGAAAAGTAAATTTCTTGAGTTATGACAGTGACACAGAAATATCAGTAGGGAATAGGGACCAGTGCCTTTTGCTGCAGTTTAGCTACTGTCTTAAGTAAGGAGCTGCAGCCACAACCCTTTCTTTGATTATTGTGGTTATAATTCTCTTTAGGATTTAGTTAGGTGTTAATTAAGGTCTTGAATTAACAAGTTTATGGCTATCTAAATTGTGCCAATATTTATAGAATCAACGTGTTTTTAGTATTATTTTCTTCTTTTCGTGTGCGCATAAGTTCGTAAGTTGACATCTAATGGAACATTTTCTGCACACAAATGGACAAAACACACCCATATTTGAGGTTTAGCAATTCAAGATATCACTACTATCCAAAATAAGTCTCTTTCTCTATGGTTTACTCTTAAGGGCTTTTGTGGGTTGGTCAAAAGTCAGTCTTGTTTGGCGTGTGAATGGAATTATATACAAAGAAAAGAGAGTGCTCGACTGAGAATAATGACCTTAGCTCATCTGTCGTTCTCGTATGTGTACACAAAGATTGATATGGTCCATCGCAATAGGAAAAACGTCAACTACAAGCTATACATCAACATCTTATTCCCATGTCCTAGAGAGTCGGCATAGTTCTCCCCATATTTTGTCGAAATTGAACCTTTTTCCAAAACATCGAAAGAGAGAATTTATTTTTGGTTAATTTGGACCATTGCTTCAGTTAAACTATGTAAATACTATTTTCAGGCAAATAAACGCTATTTATATTCAAGAAGCTGGGCCAAAATATGCCTTGAGACATGATTTATAAAGTTCTTTCTTTTAATGATACAACCTAAAATACCTAATTCCCGTGTGATGCTTTTACTGGCTCAATGAATGATTTTGAACAATTTGCAGGAGATTCTTACTGCAATGCAATTGAAGAATTAGCTTAACTGTTTCGGCTTCACGGTATTTAATTATCGCGGTAAATATAGACGATGATTTTCAACTAATAACACCAAGAAAATCTTGTCAAAATATAAACACCACTGCACCAGAACCGGATTATTGCATTTTCTTTGTATCTCTTCGTATTTTGAGCTCCGTGTTTACATTTCCCTCTAGAGTATTATTTACTTTCACGTTCTTTTAAAATCCTAATCTTCTACGGTGACAGACTCAATGACAGGTTGAATGATAGAGGGGACACATGTCAATAGATATGACAGTTTAAAAAAAAAAAAAACACGAAATCGTCGTCTATCACACCACCATGTCACCTCCATCCTTGTCATTGAGCCTTACCAAGGAGCATTATTCTTTTCAATAAGCTGCTAAATTTTAGTGCGAACCCCCATACTTTGTGTTTTCAGATTTAAAGAAAAAAAAAAGACTAGTGAATGTCAATCATAATCTTATTTGAAATTAATTCTTCTAATATATCAGAAAATAAGAAGTTCAATCATCTTGTAATATATAATTTTAAAGATGAAATGAGACAACATATTCAATATATACTTTAGGGGTCAGACTGTGGTTGATGTTGCATTGTAAACAAAAACATCATCTCTTTGCTTGTAGATTTAAGGATTATCATATTAGCTAATTTGACAGTAATTTTATCTTTTCCATTGATAGATGAACAAAAGTCATTATGCGGAATAATCACATCTTAATTTCTAGCTAACTTACAGCTTAGTAGTAAAAAGGAAAATAAAATCATGAGATGATAATGTCTATTAATTATGTTATATAATAATTTCCTATCAGAAAAAAGGAAAAACTCCATGGTACAAGTTGCTTCTTGCAATCTCACTGCAAAATTTTTTGTGGTCCGTATCTGTGTACTGAGCAGAAGCTTTAAAGAACCCTACATTGGTCCCTTATCTACTGATATCAATAATCTCATCCACCACAACTTTGCAACTGGAACTTATCTAATTAATTTTCCTTTTCACTTTTATAATTCTTTGCGTGTGTCTACTAATGGCTATATATCTTGATTCAATATCTCAATTAAGAACAATTAATGCTATACATTTTATGCTGTAAAATTTGCTCACACATACATAAAAAAGCTGTTTGCAGATGGCAATAAATAAAACCTCATAGGACGGTCTGGTTGATCATTCTAACTTAAGAATCGTTTAATAGAAATTAATAGTAATATAAATATAATGAGGTGATGAACTTGCTCATTTGTTCATTATTTTTGACAAAATTTCAAGAAAATTTACCAAAAAAATTACGTGTCAGCGTATGTAGAGGCCACTTGGCGGCGAATGCACCATAGCTTTCCCTTTCCGTTCATATGGTAATATTCTATCATCTCTTCTTTCTACAACTTGAAACTTATTTAACAAGTTTATTATTTACTTTTGAGAAAATGAAAGTTTCATATATATGAAGCTTTTTCTCTTTCCACACAGCTTTTTTTGATGGAAATTGAAGTTCAATATTGAAAGAGCAGTTCATTTGCTATCTTCCTGGATATGCTTGCAAATAGAGCCAAATTCGATTGATCCACTGTGATATACCTAGAACTGTGAGTTCCTTTTGTGATCTTTTCTAATTTCTCAATTTTGGTGACAAAAAAAAAACAAAAATATCCTTCATGAAATTCTCCAAGTAGAATATATATGTTCATCATCTCTCAAAATTGACTACAAATCTTGTTTTATTTAATTCTAAAAAGATTGCACTGCCAAATCCCTACTCTCGAAAAAGGTGTAAGTTTTATAGTTATCGAAGAAATTTTTACTATAAAATTTGTTTCTCGCATGATATTTAATCTGTAACCATGTAAGTTGTTTTTTCCTGAAATGTATTGAATTTTCTGTAACGAATTCGTCGCTTAACGGTAATAATCATATCGGGTTCTAGAATTAGAGGACGAAAGTAACAGGAAAACAAGAAGAAAACCCCAATATCAGATGTAAGTTCGGGCGAACTTTACGTCTTATATGTTGTTATGAATTAAGCCCTAATCTCAATATTTACGAGAACAATGTTAAGCAAAACTCACATATTTTAATTCACGATCAGTTTTAATTTAGATCTTGCAGGTCAATAATGAAGCAAATGATCATATGATCATGAACTCAAGATCAGAAAAAGATTTTCGAGCGAAGCAAGAAGACGATGCCAAGATTTCCGGCAAATTTTCTAAGATCCCATCTTCTTCATCTAGACAGTGGTCATCAACCTTAAAAAATCCAAGAATTGTACGCGTCTCACGTGATTTTGGAGGCAAAGACAGGCATAGCAAAGTGTGTACCGTGAGGGGATTAAGAGATCGACGAATTAGGCTTTCAGCTCCTACTGCAATTCTATTGTATGAACTTCAGGACAAGCTTAGACTCAGCCAGCCTAGTAAAGTTGTAGACTGGCTACTTGATGCAACTAAACACGAAATCGATCGGCTTCCACCTCTTCCAATGCCTACGGGAATGACTTTCAGCCAATTTCCTCGTGATCATCTATCATCCGGGCTTCCCCACTGTTTGGACGCAAATCAAGCTTATGCAAAGGATTCAGGAATCAATCACGCGTTTTTCTCACGCAAGGAAGATTTAGGGATCAAGAATGTATGTCAGCAGAATCAAGAAAATAAAGAGGGTGGTTTTGGAGGATATGTGGCACAGAATTTTTTCCCAGTAGAAAATTATCAATCTCCTTTTCCTACACCTTTTCCAAATAATTCCTACATTAATTGGGATCCTAATTCAAACTTGTCTTTATCTCAATTTGGAGCTGAAGAATCCCACAACAATATTCCTGCACCATCTTCCATGGCTTTCCCTTTGACCTCTCAACTGTATTTCTATCCATCTTCGACAACAGTACCATCGTTGAATTTCCCTCCATTAATCCCTCCATTTATGAACACAGCAATGGAGAACGAGTCGAGACAAGTTAATCACTTCCAGCATCAAAATTCATTGATGCCAACCCTTCATTTGATTAGCTCTCCAATGAAATCTTTCGGGTCGAATGCCAATCAAACTGTCCGACCTCCGGAAGATGGTAGCGAAGAATGCAGTAGTTCTTAACCGTGCAAAAATTGATGCACAGTGAGAGGATCATGGAAGAAACAAAGTATCCATTCAGTTTCCAGCTTTGCAGATATTGGGATACAGTAAGTCATTCTTATGTCTTTATATATAATAGATATAGATACACTGAAAATCTGTCATTATTACAACATTTGCATTGTCATGTTTAACTTACAGAAACCAATTGTTAATGATTTACTAATAAGTATCTGAATTTGCTGTTCCCTTCATGGTATTTTCTTGCTATATATATACAATTATTTCATAATGTTCTTTGATTGATATGTATAAATTATTGAAATCTATCTCTAGACATCAACTTTTATAAACTATCTCTCTCCTTTTCACTTTCACAATGCAATAATTGTTGGAGATCTAATGCGCGCACCTTGAGTCGAAATCAGAATTTAGGATTTGAGTCTAATGTACCTTGGAATTGTGTGAATGATTAATTTGAGATGAGGAGTTTCTAGAATATTAGATAGTCATTCTAATATTTAGATGTTCTGTATTTTCTTATGTCAAGAAATATAAATTTGACTTTCTTGGACAGAAGGAAAACTAAAATATTTTTCTTCAAATCTTGTTTTGAGTAAACCATAGGAACTCGCACAACCTTCAAACATGTAAAGAGAATATATCGAATAATTTCCTGATTTATACCTCGTTTAGAGCTAGTAACAAAAAAAATTCCTTCAATAAGTACAAATTGCCCACCTTTAGTTTATTCTTATATATATATATATACTTTCTTTTAGTAAGTAAATTTTACTACACATACAATCTCGTCGCTCGGTAACACCACAATATTCAATATATTTTAGTTGTCTTTGATATATAACGGGTTCGTTGGAATGGATTGGATAAATAAAAGAAAGAAATAATAGCTTACCAACTAAGTAGAGAACTCAAAGGATACAGGGCTAGGAAATTCAATGTTAAATGGAATTCTCTAAAGAGAGAGTTTTCTTGGTACCAAATGTTCAATGAATTCTATTTAGTAATAGTTTCCCCCCTCCTTAGAGTCCATTGAAGCTGAGGTATGATCGTAAGAGTTTATAAGATCTTATCCTAACAAGGTTAGGGTGTATACTGATAATTTAAAAAAATTAGTACATTGAAGGGGATGATTTAGTATTAACTCATTGAAGCAAAACTCATTTTCAAAAGTATATTCTCCCGTAAAATAAAGTTACAGGTAAAATCAAAATTTTTCCTTATTTTTTTACCATGCACGTTCTCAAAACTACTATTCCAAAATATAAGAACACGTTCTCTTTGCTGTTTTTAGGCAATTTTCAATTTTCAAAAACATTGAAAACACGTTTACTCACCTATTTTCATAAACGCATTTCCAAAAATGAGTTTAAAATTTACAAAGAAAACGGAAAACACCCAAAAACACCAAGGCAAAACTTTTTTTTTATTTTTAAAATAATTTTTTAAAATGACAAAAAGAACGCATTTTCAGCAATCTTAAAATGGACACTTAAAACATAAAACCCAAAATGAATTCAAAACTCAAAATTAAAAATTGAAAAACGAAGAGAACAACCTCCTAATTTTCCCAAAATCTCATTTTAGTGGAGCCCAAACAAGGTGAAGAGTGATTACCGCGATAGCTAAATATGGATCATGTATGTGCTGTGACAAGATTATAGAAACTAGATAGAAGGAAGTTGGTGTCTGCAGGAAGTATGAAAAATTGGATTTCGTCTCCATTTTCTCAGCTTTATTTAACTTCTAAAACGGCTCTAGGTATATAAATGTCTTCATCAATGTTGTGTTATGCCCTAATACACGAATAAAAATGTAATATCTGTATTTGATCAAATATACAAAATACATAGAGTCATTTTCTTGACGGCTTATTTTATTGAAAAATAAGCTAGATTTTTTGTTGTTGACATAAAAAAATAATCATCCTAGAGTTAGAGCCAAGAACACCATCCAATCGACAAAATAACACAGGTCATACTGCTCGGCCACCATTACAAAAGAGGGAGAGATGTAGTAGCCAAAGGCATTCTGATACTTAGGTCTTATGGTGACTGGGATTACTGATGTACTTTACAAAACACGGTCGAAACTTCAACATACTGAGGTTGAGGTTTAATGTCAAGGCTGAGGAATCGTTTGGTTTTGTGGTTATGTTAGCATTCATGCAGAGTCGTCAAGGTTGATCTTGTCAGGTGGTTTTAATATAGGATACCCGTTTATTAATTTCTGGTAAAAAGCATAACACAAAGACTTTTTAGCGCTCAAACTTCAATTTTAATCACACATTTCATAAAATTTTTTATCAACTTTTCTACAACACATTACAACAACTTTTATGTTAAAACTTTTTTTTAAAACCTTTGTCAAATAACCCCTTAGTCTCCATTAGATCCTGCATTTCAAATAATAAATAGTTTTCTGCTGGAGTTTTTCCATGAAAAAAAATAATTATATAAGCACTAGGCAATTGCTAAATTTATTTCTAAATTAAGCCTCCGTTATAATGTGTTCCATGAAATGTATGAATAATAATAAGCAATAGTTATGAATTTGTGATTCAAGCCTCGAAATTGAGTTCTTAAGCCCGTGCCTCAAACATGAATTCAGTTCCTTCTACTGTGTGAGCACGAATCATATAAATGCACAAATTCCTATTTTCTTTGTGAATGCAAATTAGTCGATGATGATGATGAAATGAAAAATCAAAAAATCCGTAACAAAAATAAAAGTATAATAGCCTATTAGGGTTTAGGGTTTGGCATTTGAGCCTTGAAAAAGTTAGATTTCAATTTATGAACGAAATGAAATTCTAGGATTAGGGAGTTATAATTACACGTGCTATAAAGTAAAATAAAAACCCTAGAAGATAGTGAGAGTAGAGCCACAAAGGAAAAGAAGCTAAATGATAGAGTTGAACAGAGAATGGAAGAAGGCATCAGCAAGAAAAGGGTTTTGGAATCCATAATTCTCTGCAATGAAAAAGAAAGAAAGATAAAACTACAGAGTGTTGATGGAGACTACATCAGTACATATCGATATGTCACAAGATCCAAGAAAATTTAAAACCAAGGCATGCACGGTTGGGCTACACCCTTTAAAGTTGCAAAAGGTTTTTTCAGTGGTCCTTATATAAGGAAAATAATGAGAGAGAGAGAGAGAAGAACCCAATGAATTTGGAGAGATCAATTTTTTTTTTTACCCCCTTTTTATTGTGCCCTAATATCTTTGTGATAAGAAAACGCCAACATATTATTAAATATGTTTTACACCTTAACGTCTTCGTATTTGGAAAGAAGAGGCGACTTGTGTCAATATTTCAAAAATGTACGGGGCATAACAAATGGGACAACAATCTCAACTTGAATTTGGAGGTATACAACTTTTATATGTTATATTTGTATGGTGTATTAGATAATAGATCAAGAAAAGAAGTTAAAATAATGTCCGTCGTAGAGTTCGCTACGATATAATAGTAATACTGCATATCACTAAACTAAGATACGAGCATGTCATAAAGTTAACAAGCCTCTCTAAACTTCACCTAGCTCCTTTTGAGTGTGTTTGGAAGAGCTTTTACAAAACTCAAAAGTACCCCTCGAAGGACAAAAGCTGTTTTGATTAAAATAATGGATGCTTGGTTAAAATCCTGGCGTTGATTAAAAAAAGAAGCCTTTTTATGCATTTTGAGAAGCTCAAAATTTGAACTTATTCAAAAAGCACGGCTTATACAATAAATTGAAATTTGTATTTAATGAAAATTTTCAATTAACGAACTTATCCTTACTGATTTACAAAAATATCAAATATATCCAAATTGTTTTACATATCAATATAACAATGAAATATTACATTAATTTGTAAAATTAAAAATTCTTTTTAAAAGGTTATAATATGTCTTTATTATTATTTATCATTTTAAGTACGAATATATTTGTTAAATTTTAACCGAAATTAATTTCAATAGATTGTATGGAATGTGTAGGAACAGTGGCATAGCCAAAAATAAGTATTATTTATGAATAAATTATTAAAGTTTAATATTCACTTGACAGTTGCTATGATTCGATAATATTCTAACATAAGATTTCACTTGCTAAGGTTTTATGAAATGACCTTATTTTAATCGATAGTGTAAACAATTACTTTTGATCTTCTTTCTTGTCGTCATCCTTAACATTCTCCTCCAGTCTCCTTTCGCATTGATGCATCTCCCATTTTGTTCCCTTCTATAATCCCATCGAGCCTTGAGTGCACCGGGATGTAGAGGTAAAAGAGAAAAATAAATGATGAGATAAAGGTAAAGAAAAGGATGACAGAAGAGTCATTTTAGTGAAGTTAAACCTCCGTTGGCCCCCATTATTTACCATTTAAATGTTTGGAATAGTACCTTTTTTTTAAGAATGTGTGGTTGATAAGAAGAAAGAGAAAATAAATTACAGGGGCCAAATTATGCATTTGATTTATTACAAGATAGAAAAGTGAATATTATTTATGTTTGGTTGGCATTGGCGGTGTTTGAGTTTTTAGGTTGCAAAAGGGAAAGGGCAATGGAATCCACTATGGGCCAGTGACGGCAGTCGCCCCAATATCTCTCTTAATATTAACAACTTCACCACTCTCCCTCCAATAGTCTCATTGGCTCCACCAACCAATACTGCTCTTTAAGTTTTTAATGTAAAATATATTTGAAAGAAAGATAAAAATGATTTTAGGGTTTTTCATGCTCGTGATTAGCCACTTATTTTCTTCTTATTCTGCGCTTCTGATTGCCAATATCAAAAGAAGAGGGATCTTGATTGTTTAGAATTTATTGGAACGTGGTGTGGAGTTTAATGCCAGAGAAAAGCATCGTTCAGGGTAAGGGGACGCCGTTGCGTTGGGATCGGATGAGGAACCATGCAAAGTGGTTTGCTGACTGACTTGGGGTGTGGTGGTCAATATGAATTGAGGCAACGGCTAAAGCCCCTAGTCAATATGCCTGTGGAATGTCAACATCG